TGTAGTCGGATTGTTTGGAAAGACGTCCCCAAGCATGCGCTCTACGTACATGCACAATAACGAACCACAACTGAAGGTAATATTCTGGACTAATTTCTGATCTGCAGGCATAATGTTAACTGTGAAAGGGTAAGTTATAGGTTTTGCCCTCAATTTCTGAAAGTAGCCCGACTGTTGGAGTAAAGGTGGCAAACAAAGAAACTCCTTACCAAGGAGAAAACTTGTATATACAAAAATGGTTCAAACAAAGACACTCCTTACCATCCAAGTCTTCTGCAACATTTTCTTTTTCTTCAATCAAAAGATCAGTGTGTGCCTGAAACAGTACAACAAATTTATTAGAAGAACCAAGGAGAAATGTCCAGTAAAGTAACAAAAGCACAGAATTACTACTGACCGACTTTTTCTTTTTCTTTTTGAGACCAGCAAAAGATGTTTCACCAGTTTCAGAAACTGCACAAGATGTAACACAACGTAAGACTAAATTTGCACAATAATCAAATAATCCAATAATATCTTGATTTTTAAAATTGGAAAGGTTAGATATATACTCGATAAGCTCTCAGCTTTCTCTACTAGAGAGTCAATAGGCTCTTCTTCACCTAGGTCTTGAGGCACTGTTTTCTTCTTTTTCTTCTTTTGTGGGGTCAAAAGGAGCTATCTGCAATACAATCGTAAAACATTTTGAATCAACACACTCTACTACCATCTTTGGTTTAAAAAAAAATTACTAAAACACAATGCACCTACTCTTGATTAGGTATAAAAGCTAGAGTTAAAAGATGAGTTAATCCCTTTCAGTAATACACATTAAAGGCAACATATATTTGCAAAGAAACAAAGCTCCTGCCATTTTTACTATTAATGAAAGCATTAGTACAATCATAACTTCAACATGCATTACATGAAACAATTGTAAACTCATCACTTTTAAATTCTCATATTTTATAACTTAGCAAAAGATCATTTATAGCTCCTAAAGAACCAAACCAACTTTTATCTCTTCTTCAAAACATCATCAGAATCAGCAAATTTTTAAGAACTTTACTTAATTTTTTATGCTCTGAGCTAATTAGAATTCATCCCTATTCTCTCAGCATAAAAATAAAACAATTTATTTTGTACGAGCAAATATAAATAACTGGATAAAAACTCTGACTATACCAAAACTTATAAATCCAAACATAGCAACAGAACAAAAAATCGCAGCCATACTACTTCTACAAAGAAAGAGAAAATGAAAGAAACAAATAGATAAATATATGCAAAGAAAAATACAATTACCCACAACATAAAACAGACAACTTCTTTTATTTTTTCGGCCGACACTTACATCGGGCACATCGTTAATACCCTCCTTAATCTCGTTATGATTTTCATCGTCTGCCTTGTTGCCTTTAGATCTGCAACATAAATCCAAAATGTAAATTGACTTTTCTTACAACCCAAGCTCAAATTCCAACATGATCAGAAAGAAAAACGGTCATCGAATGTATCCAAAGCCTAAATATCCTCGCAGAAAAAAACCTTAAGAATCCACATCCAATAAATATGCCCTAATGATGTAATGACCTTCAAA